TCCATAGTTGTTCCATCTCCTGGAAGGTCTCTCGTAGCGAGACTGTTACACTCCACGGGTGCTGCTTGTGTGTGTTCAGCACAATCACAGCCTCACTTCATGCAGGTCGGCGCTCGATCCCCCAATGGTCCAAGTAGTTGGAAACCCTTCAATCCTCCATTTCCATATACCGGTTGCTCATCCTCATGATCTGGTAGGGTCATGAGGATCTGGTCCTCATACTTTTAGTCCTTATGATCCTTTAGTCATACTGCCTTAGTGCTTTCCCCTCATAATTAACAATGAACTCACTGGCCAGGGTTACCGTTTATCATTCATACAACCACTTACGAAACCTGTACATCTTTCCTTAGTATCTAGAACGGCTTTGTTTACCTATCACCAGGTACACGAGAGTCTTTCAGTTTAAGGCAGTTTAAGTTTAAGGCAGAGGAGCGGTACTCTAAGTCAGGCGAAGGCAATAGTTTACCAACCGAAGATTCCACAGTCCCACATGTGGTACAGCAGAATAGTAATGTGCTGTGAAAGGTAGTTTTATATCTCAGTGAGATGGGTAAAGAGCCAAAAGACCTCATGCATTTAAATATATTTTTATTATAGCTAAACGAGAAGGAAAGACAAATATGTTCTGAATCAAAGAGTACTTTAGCAAAGACTTTGCAGTTAAGTTGCATTTTCATGTAATTCATTTTACAGTCGGTTATTAGAGACATCTTATCTTGGGGTTATCTTGAGATGATTTCGGGGCTTAGCGTCCCCACGGCCCGGTCCTCGACCAGGCCTCCTTTTTTGTTACACCCCCCCCCCCCGTCTAGGAAGCAGCAGCCCGTAGCAGCTGTCCAACTCCTAGGTACCTATTTACTGCTAGGTGAACAGTGGCATCAGGGTGGAAAAAACTCTGCCCATTTGTTTCCGCCTCAACCTGAGATCGAACCAGGAACCTCAGGACTACGAATCCCGAGCGCTGTCCACTCAGCCGTCAGGCCCCTCAGGCAGTTGTCAGGCAGACATTAAGAGTAAGAAAGGAAGTAGAGGAATAATCACCAGTTTTATCAATGCGTCTCTAATTATCTATAAAGAATAACGCTCTTTGTTAAGACAGAAAAAAAACATTTTAAACATGTTTCTAAAGAATCTAAATTGGTCGTTTGACGAGGCTGTGATCGTATTAAATTAGAAATATTCGGTCAACTACATTTTAATCAAATACAAATAGTCCAGAGAAAACGTTTATCGATATTAAGGTGTAACTATTAAAGTATTGCAAGTTTTCAATTGAGTCGCATTAGAATGCTACTGTTCATGTTATAACCTAAAAGGAAGAATAGTAACTGTGTGAATTACAGGTGAGAGGCAGGGTGCCTTACTGTGTAGAATGTTACCAGGACCTTCCCCCTCGTGTATCTCCATAAGATACATATTGTGTCCACAACACAAGACACGTGTATCACCGAGACACTCCGCAACACTAAGACACATCCCGCTGTGAGGGTCAGGAAGCCCTCTCGAGGGAACTGCCTTCGACAGCTTCGTCGTGGCCAGCTTCCTCAGGCGAAGGAAGCTTCCTCAGGCGAAGGAAGCTTCCTCAGGCGAAGGAAGCTTCCTCAGGCGAAGGAAGCTTCCTCAGGCGAAGGAAGCTTCCTCAGGTGAAGGAAGCTTCCTCAGGCGAAGGAAGCTTCCTCAGGCGAAGGAAGCTTCCTCAGGCGAAGGAAGCTTCCTCATCTAGACAATCGACTTGAGAATGGTCCAGGACGGACCGAAACGTCGTCGTCCCTTCACCTTCCAGTGTGTGGTCTGGTCAACATACTTCAGCCACGTTATTGTGACTCATCGTCTTCCTCATCTAATTCCTCACACTTAACTGCATCTCTTGGTGAAGATGAGTTTAGGGAGACGAGCTGATGAGTGGAGGAGGGGGGGGGGGGGGGTAGCAGAGATGATTGTTAGAGAGGCCGGGGTAGGTGTAGCTGGGAGGGGGGAGAGATATGGTTGTGGAATCTGAGGTAATTACTCATCAATATTGGTTTCTGGTTGTAGCTGTACGTCAGTCTGGTGGTTATTGATGTATTCTGTTTATAGGTTGTTATATTTCTTTGGGTTCTTGCCACCTAAGGCTGCTGTTAAGTGGCGTGTGTGTGTGTGTGTGTGTGTGTGTGTGTGTGTGTGTGTGTGTGTGTGTGTGTGTGTGTGTGTGTGTGTGTGTGTGTGTGTGTGTGTGTGTGTGTGTGTGTGTGGTGTGTGTGTGTGTGTGTGTGTGTGTGTGTGTGTGTGTGTGTGTGTGTGTGTGTGTGTGAGTGTGTACTCACCTAGTCACCTAGTTGTGTTTGCGGGGGTTGAGCTCTGGCTCTTTGGTCCCGCCTCTCAACCGTCAATCAACAGGTGTGTGTGTGTGTGTGTGTGTGTGTGTGTGTGTGTGTGTGTGTGTGTGTGTGTGTGTGTGTATGTGTGTGTGTGTGTGTGTGTGTGTGTGTGTACTCACCTAGTCACCTAGTTGTGTTTGCGGGGGTTGAGCTCTGGCTCTTTGGTCTCGCCTCTCAACCGTCAATCAACAGGTGTGTGTGTGTGTGTGTGTGTGTGTGTGTGTGTGTGTGTGTGTGTGTGTGTGTGTGTGTGTGTGTGTGTGTGTGTGTGTGTGTGTGTGTGTGCGCGCGCGCGCGCGAAAATGTGTGTGTGAAAATATATGCAGAACATATATCTGCAGGTTTGTCCTATGTGTGTAACAAGTCTTGTGTGTGTGTGTGTGTGTTTTAATGACGTTTTCGTGGCGCCGTTTCTGCATACTCGAGAACAGGTCTGACATACGTTAAAACAGTGCCGTGGTGCCTGCAGACGAAAGTGCGTGACTGCATTTTCCAATGTTCGTGTCCTACCTCGCTAACCCTTTCCCGGAACACCTGCCTGGTTAATACTATAATTGACAATAGACAATAAACCATAAAAAAAACAGAAATAAAACGTGAAAGCGACGTAATCAGCAAGCCAAGGAGGCCAGATAATTACAGGAACGTGGTACAAACTGCACCTCCTTTCTTACACACCTCTTAAAGAATTATTTCTTGTATATAACTTTTTATCTACACCATTTGGAGCGACTACAATTTGAGAGTCTTATAAAACACTTACCACACTCTTATCAAACATGGCTATCATACAATCAAATATTCACGCGTTTTTTTGTATATTCTTGTATTCTAATACTTCCAGTTATTGGTGTATATGACCAATGCAGACAGTGAGTCACTATAGCAGGGTTGAACATTAAGACACCCGACCCGTACATCTGAAGATGCAGGACGTGACGAGGTTCGGGTCCGTCCTGGACAATGATCAAGTTGTGTGAAGAGTGGCAAAGAAAGTGCCACTCTGGCACTTTCTTTGCCCGGGATGGAGGTCTCGTGATACGTAATACCATTCGTAATACTTCCTTCTCTTTGAGAATGAAGACGTATGCCATAGGCGTTAATAGGAATGAAGAAAACTGCAGAAGGCCAAATGAAGGTGAAATAAGAGACAAGAGAGAAAGGAAGATAGGAACAAGGAAAGAGAGCCAAAAGAGGGTAAAGCTAAGGTCAGATCAAGTCTGTTGAGGTTGTTAGAGCCTCTAACTATATACTGAGAACCCGCCAAACACACACCGAAACTACAACGTTGCTACAACGTTCGAAGAAATTTTACCACCACCTAACCAGTTATAACAACCAATATAGCACGTTGTAACAACGTTATAATACGTCATAAAGACGTTAAGCCAAGATGTAACAACTTTATTACAAGTTGTAACAAGCGGAAAATAGGGACAGTTTCGGTTTGTGTTTCCAGGGAAAGCCACGAGTCAACAGCACCAAGGCCAGGAGTAAGACTCGTGTTGAACATGTTGTTTATCAGAGCCGACTCGACAAGGCGGTGTGTGCCAAGTGTAGAAAAGTTCAGGTTAATTTAAAAGAGCAGTCTATGGGGTTATTAAGAGTGCTAAACATGACAGGAGACAGCATTGTTTATGCAGGCGATGAGTCACAATAACGTGGCTAAAGTATGTTGACCAGACCACACACTAGAAGGTGAAGGGACGACGACGTTTCGGTCCGTCCTGGACCATTCTCAAGTCGATTGTTGTTTATATCTGGAGATTTAACACTACTTTTGTGTTCCTTAAGTCTGTCGTGGCCAGTTTTATCAAAGTACTGGAGAGGACAAGCAGAAGGAGCAGTAAGCGCTTGATTACTATCCAATTTCTTAAAAGACAAATTTTCCATCAAGAGGACGAAGGGCATTAGTGAGAGTTTGTGTGTTTAGATGTGAAGAGAAGGTTCAGCACACGGTAACTTGTCGGGATCAGGATAAGGATGATAGAAAAAATTCTTTAGGCCCGAGAGTAGCCACGGTTGATAACATGCAAGAGATCCACAAGGCGAGGGAATGAATTGTAAGGAAAAGAAATTTCAGAACCAGTAAAATACTTTCCAGATACCATAGAAAACTAATCTCTATAACAAGGACCTTGATAATTACTCAACGATTAAAAATAACGTAATTAAAACAATAACTTATTTATGACAAGGTAAACATGACAGTGGACTCGATGGTATCTCTCATGACACTGACAACCGTGACATATCTCTCATGACACTGACAACCGTGACATATCTCTCATGACACTGACCACCGTGACATATCTCTCATGACACTGACAACCGTGACATATCTCTCATGACACTGACAACCGTGACATATCTCTCATGACACTGACAACCGTGACATATCTCTCATGACACTGACAACCGTGACATATCTCTCATGACACTGACAACCGTGACATATCTCTCATGACACTGACAACCGTGACATATCTCTCATGACACTGACAACCGTGACATATCTCTCATGACTGGCCGCTGTTGTGGTCACCTCTGGACACCACAACAGCGGCCACCCCAGACAACGACCACATGTGACTATCACCTCCCCTGACGACACAAACAGGTATAATAACGCAGTCTTACCTGATTTTAAGTCTGAAAGAGGAGTTAGGGTCGTGATCCCACTGGTGCGTGGTGGCCACCCGGCCCGCGGCCATCCGTCGGACGTGTAGAAGTCTGGGCTGAGAACTGTAGGAGTAGACGTAGAGTTTCTCCTCCTCCGGGACCCAGACCTCGCTGGTAGAGCCCTCCTGGCCTTTCACAGACTTCTTGAGGTCCGATGATATCTTCGATTTGGCTCTTTTGCGTTTAAGTGTCTTGTTTTTGGTGCCGGCGGTGTTGGGTCGTGTTATGTCCTGGTAACGGATCTCCGGCATTGATTCCGCTTTCGTTACGGTGGTCGAATCTTCATCTGCTTGAGGTTTATCGTCTAAAAGGTGGCCCTCTGATCTGAAGGTGTTTAGTGCCAATGGTGAATTGTCGCCTCCTTCGACGGGAATGTTGACCGGAGGCAATTCTAACGTATTGCCGGGTGTTCCACCGTTGTGATATTCTTCAATCTTTATCGTTGGTTCCTGTTCTGGTTTGAGATGTTTTGCTTTGAACCTTGAAGGTAATTTATTGTTCTTTGGTTTGTTTACTTCTGGCCGAGTCGAAGACTGAACAGGCATTGGCCTCCAAGAAATAGGTTTCCTGTTTGTCATTATTTTGCTCCTGTCGTTCTGTTTTATCTGTGTTGACTTCTTGACCTCCGGTTCTTGAGTTAGACTTTTAGCTGCAAGCTTTCTTTTTCCTCTGTACGTGCCAGGAATCTTGGCAATGGCTGGTATTTCTTTGATTTCTTCCTCTTCATTTAGCGGTTGTTGTGATAGACTTGGGTCTTCATTAGCTGGTGCGTCTGACGCCGCCTCCGGCAAGTCTGACTCAGCCTGGACCTCACTGGAGTCCGGCACCTCTGGGTTTACCGGACTGTTTCCCTCGCCCGCTTCACCATCTTTCTCCTCTTCAGCTACAACTGTTTCGTTGTTCTCTGATGATGCATTTTCTTCACCATCAACTGTCGCTTCAACAGCCTCTGCTTCACCATCATCAATTGTGGGTTCATTATCCAATGCTTCGCCAACATCATCAGTTGGCTCATTATCCACAACTTCACCACCATCAATTGGCTCATTATTTCCCGCTCCACTATCATCAACAATTGCTTCTTTATCGCCTGGTTCACCATCATCAGCAGCTTCAATATTATTTGCCTCACCACCTTCCTCACCTTCATCTGCGATCTTCTCTTCACTGTCATTATCTTGACTATCATTTCCTGCTGCTTCTGAGGCCTCTGCTTGCTCCTCAACACTCGCTGTCACTGGGTTAGCCTCATCGTTGGTCTCTTCCGCCTCACCGGCTAAATCAGTGTCTACTTCGAAGTTTTCTGTTGCCTCATTGGCTTGTTCCTCACTGCTTGGTTCTGCGTTCTCATTGCTTGGTTCTGCGTTCTCATTGCTTGGTTCTGCGTTCTCATTGCTTGGTTCTGCGTTCTCACTGCTTGGTTCTGCGTTCTCACTGCTTGGTTCTGCGTTCTCACTGCTTGGTTCTGCGTTCTCACTGCTTGGTTCTGCGTTCTCACTGTTCTCTGGCACTGCCGTATCCGCAATGGCACCGAGACCTGCATCGCTAGAGAGGCCCAAGGACCCCTGAAAACTGGTGGCTAAAGAGTTTGGCTCGTCCATATCTCCTTGATAACCTGTGTTATCCTCTTCGATGTCGTTCGGCATGTCTTCGGCCTTCTCCCCGGGATCTTCAGCTTCAGGATCTATATTTACGGTTTCTGACTCGTCCAGATTGTTGTCCGGTGGATCTTCCTGTGTGTTTTCATCGGTGTTGTCGGCGTCGTGTTTCGCGTTGGGTTCACCAGCGGCGGCAGCTTCCGCGTCCGATTGATGGTCTGGATGAAGAACTTCCTCGTCGCCGTTAATACTTCCTCGTCCTTCGTCATCTTCTATATCATCTGCTTCTTTAGTCACAGTTTTTATTTCACTTTCTCCTTCCAGTTCAAAGTCCTCATCTTTCTCGGTATTGCTACTAATTCCTTCATCCTTACTGGTATTGCTGCCAGCTGATGGTATCCTAGAAGCGTCTCTGGCTTCCACGGAATCTTCATTCACTTTGTCGTTGCTTGATTCCCTTTGCTTTGCTCTCTCCTTACCTCTTATTCCATCATTCTTTCCCTTTGGCCTTGGCTTCCCTAGTCTCTTGGCCCTCTGCTGTGAGAGGTAGTCCTTGTGCTGGGGTGGCTTGTTGGCCATAGAATTCCCTGTAGTCTCTTCCCTTCCTCTCCTTGCTTTGGGGTCGGGGTCCTTGACTCTCCTGATGCGAGGCTTCCTGGCGGGCTTGGTGGTGGAGACGAGGGCGGCACTACCGGCGTCCATTGGGTCATCGTGGGCTACAAGGTTCGCCAGCGACTGACTCGCCTCACTTATTGCGACGTCTGCCATGGTGTCAGGGGACTGCCATCATACGCGTTTACGCACCAAACTTCAAAAGACCGGTTCTTGTAGCATATTCAATTACTCCTCTACAAACTAACCGGTTTTGTCAAATTAGAACGGCTATTAGGGTAGTATATATATATCTGGGTTTAGTAATATAATCAGTGTATTGGTGTTTGCCGATGATGATGATGGTAATTCTGGCAGCCTAGCCCATGGCCTCAATTATGGTGAGAGGCGGGAAGTGTACGCGCGCGGGCAGTCCTGTGAGGGTGGCGGCCGGGTGTGTGGTGGGCGGCGCTGCTCTCTTGGCCGCCGCGCGGCTCGGCCAGAGTGGGGGGGGGGGGGGGGGGCTGGACTGACGAGCACGCCTCACCAGTCTGTGAGGGCTGGTGCCCTAGTGAGGAGCAGACCTCACCAGTCTGTGAGGGCTGGTGCCTTAGTGAGGAGCAGACCTCACCAGTCTGTGAGGGCTGGTGCCTTAGTGAGGAGCAGACCTCACCAGTCTGTGAGAGCTGGTGCCTGTTGGTGAGTGAAGAGCAGGCCTCACCAGTCTGTGAGAGCTGGTGCCCTAGTGAGGAGCAGGCCTCACCAGTCTGTGAGGGCTGGTGCCCTAGTGAAGAGCAGACCTCACCAGTCTGTGAGGGCTGGTGCCCTAGTGAAGAGCAGGCCTCACCAGTCTGTGAGGGCTGGTGCCCTAGTGAGGAGCAGACCTCACCAGTCTGTGAGGGCTGGTGCCTTAGTGAGGAGCAGACCTCACCAGTCTGTGAGAGCTGGTGCCTTAGTGAGGAGCAGACCTCACCAGTCTGTGAGGGCTGGTGCCCTAGTGAAGAGCAGGCCTCACCAGTCTGTGAGAGCTGGTGCCCTAGTGAGGAGCAGACCTCACCAGTCTGTGAGGGCTGGTGCCCTAGTGAGGAGCAGACCTCACCAGTCTGTGAGGGCTGGTGCCCCTAGTGAAGAGCAGACCTCACCAGTCTGTGAGGGCTGGTACTTTAGTGAGGAGCAGACCTCACCAGTCTGTGAGGGCTGGTGAGGGGGGGCAGACCTCACCAGTCTGTGAGGGCTGGTGAGGGGGGGCAGACCTCACCCTACAGTTATCGGCGTACTGGATCCCGGCACCTTGGCGACCAGCTGTGTTGACGTATCGTGGTCACCCACCAAGACTCCAGCCAACACTTAATATTTCCAGTACTTTTATGTTTAAATTAATTAATTTTCCACAAATACTCTGGAATGCAGAGTTTCTGAATTGATATGTTCATGCGATTTTGGTAATTTACATATAATTATACTAGTGAGCACACGACCTCAGGAGAATGTTTTAATTCACTAACACCAGTCTTCGCCGCAGCTGCTCACTAGTGAGCACTATGTGAACAACATGTGAACACAAGGTCAACGCAGAGAGGGCGGAGGGGCGCGTGTCTTCGCCTCGGGGGTCGACAGGTGACTGAGGCATGCAGCGCCAGGTGGCGACCCAGGCACCACGAAGTGTCACTCGTGGCCGCCAGTTGGCGCCTAGTGTCACCCACACGGAATTCCTCGCCCGGCACTCGTAATACCTCATGACCCTCCTTCACCTGGCGCACACGCATCGCATGCATCCTCCCTCATCCGGCACATCATCCGTATCACCCTCCCTCATCCGACACTCCAGCAACCTACACACGTCGCCCTCTTCTGACATTCCGTTAAGATCTACCCACGGAGAACGTCGTACGCACGACGTAGCCAGTCCACCAGTGACCAATAATATACTGGTAACCTCTCTTGCTTAACCCAGTTACTCAGAGTATCGCAAATAAAAGCAACCCATTCGTAATGCAAACAAAAGCCAGCTCCACGACTCCTCAAACAAAAGCCAGCTCCTCAACACCTCAAACAACAGCCAGCCCCTCAAACAAAAGCCAGCCCCTCAAACAAAAGCCAGCCCCTCAAACAAAAGCCAGCCCCTCAAACAACAGCCAGCCCCTCAAACAAAAGCCAGCCCCTCAAACAAAAGCCAGCCCCTCAAACAAAAGCCAGCCCCTCAAACAAAAGCCAGCCCCTCAAACAAAAGCCAGCCCCTCAAACAAAAGCCAGCCCCTCAAACAAAAGCCAGCCCCTCAAACAAAGCTCCTCAAACAAAAGCCAGCCCCTCAGCCAGCCCCTCAAACAAACAAAAGCCAGCCAGCCCCTCAGACAAAAGCCAGCCCCTCAAACAAAAGCCAGCCCCTCAAACAAAAGCCAGCCCCTCAAACAAAAGCCAGCCCCTCAAACAAAAGCCAGCCCCTCACAAAACTTCAAACAGCCGCTGGCAGCCCCCTCACCAGCAGGGAGCTCCAAGACCCGTCAATTTTCAACACAATACTCTCCCCAAGACCAATACGTGTCAAAAAAATATATTAACCTTTTATTGATAGGACTCCGTGATGGCTGGTAGGTGGTCATCACGACCCAACTGTAGTAATGGTGGTAGTATTAGTAGTAGTAATAGTGGTAGTATTAATAATAGTCGTAGTAATAGTAGTATCAGGGATAATACTAGACGCTAAAACAATTATCCAACACTCATAAGAATATTATGTGTTGTATAATTATTTTATACATATACACCCCTACTTGCAGTTTACCTGAAGTATAGTCTTGAGTGGTATACGTTCGTCAGACTTAGGGTCAAAGGTGACCATGGATACATACAGAGGGACGTCGATAATAAATCTATTTCGAATCATATATATGTGAGGCATATTGATGTAAGATATATTTTCCCCGTGAGGCATTCAGAAAATCTTAAGATAATACTCATATAGAAATGTTTTTGGACTTCATAGTTTATGAGGGATTATATGTAATCCTGACATATACAAGTGTGTATGTGTACTCACCTATATGTACTCACCTATATGTGCTTGCAGGATCGAGCATTGACTCTTGGATCCCGCCTTTCTAGCTATCGGTTGTTTACAGCAATGACTCCTGTCCCATTTCCCTATCATACCTAGTTTTAAAAGCATGAATAGTATTTGCTTCCACAACCTGTTCCCCAAGTGCATTCCATTTTTCTACTACTCTCACGCTAAAAGAAAACTTCCTAACATCTCTGTGACTCATCTGAGTTTCCAGTTTCCACCCATGTCCCCTCGTTCTGTTATTATTACGTGTGAACATTTGATCTATTTCCACTTTGTCAATTCCCCTGAGTATTTTATATGTCCCTATCATATCTCTCTCTCTCCCTTCTTTTCTCTAGTGTCGTAAGGTTCAGTTCCTTCAGCCGCTCTTCATATCCCATCCCTCGTAGCTCTGGGACAAGCCTCGTCGCAAACCTCTGAACCTTCTCCAGTTTCTTTATGTGTTTCTTCAGGTGGGGGCTCCATGATGGCGCGGCATACTCTAAGACGGGTCTCACGTAGGCAGTGTAAAGCGCCCTAAAAGCTTCCTCATTTAGGTTTCTGAATGAAGTTCTAATTTTCGCCAGTGTAGAGTACGCTGCTGTCGTTATCCTATTTATATGTGCCTCAGGAGTTAGATTAGGTGTCACATCCACTCCCAGGTCTCTTTCTCGAATCGTTACAGGTAGCTGTTCCCCTTCATTGTGTACTGTCCCTTTGGTCTCCTGTCACCTGATCCCATTTCCATAACTTTACATTTACTGGTGTTAAACTCCAGTAGCCATTTCTCTGACCATCTCTGTAGCCTGTTTAAGTCCTCTTGGAGATCCTACAATCCTCGTCTGTCACAACTCTTCTCATTAATTTTGCGTCATCTGCAAACATTGACATGTATGATTCCACTCCTGTAAACATATCATTTACGTAAATTAGAAAGAGGATTGGTCCCAGCACCGATCCTTGAGGTACTCCACTTGTTACTGTTCGCCAGTCCGACTTTTCGCCCCTTACCATTACCCTCTGGCTCCTTCCTGTTAGGTAGTTCTTCACCATAGGCCTTTCCGCTTACTCCTGCCTGCCTCTCAAGTTTGTATAGCAGTCTCATGTGCGGTACCGTATCAAAGGCCTTTTGGCAGTCAAGAAATATGCAGTCTGCCCAGCCTTCTCTGTCCTGCCTTATCCTTGTTACTTTATCATAGAATTCTAAAAGGTTTGTTAGGCATGATTTCCCTGTCCAGAACCCATGTTGGTGCTTGTTTACAAACCCAATGCTCTCCAGGTGCTCAACAAGTCTTAGCCTAATTATTCTTTCAAGTATTTTGCAGGGGATGCTTGTCAGTGATACGGGTCTGTAGTTAAGTGCCTCCTCCCTATCCCCCTTTTTGAAAATCGGTACGACATTTGCCTCCTTCCAGCAACTCCGGGGCAATTCTCCCGACATAAGTGACTCATTGAAGATCATTGCCAGAGGCACGCTGAGAGCCTGCGCTGCCTCTTTAAGTATCCACGGTGATACTTTGTCTGGTCCAACAGCTTTATTTGCATCCAGTGTTGTCAACTGTTTCATTACATCCTCTGCTGTCACCTCTATATCTGATAGTCTTTCATCTTGGGTAATCTCTTCTAACAATGGGAGCTGCTCAGGCTCGGTAGTGAACACTCCATGGAATTTTGCATTCAGTACCTGTGTGTGTGTGTGTGTATGTGTGTGTGTGTGTGGTGTGTGTGTGTGTGTGTGTGTGTGTGTGTGTGTGTGTGTGTGTGTGTGTGTGTGTACTCACCTAGTTGTACTCACCTAGTTTGTGTTTGCGGGGGTTGAGCTCTGGCTCTTTGGTCCCACCTCTCAACCGTCAATAATTGTGTGTGTGTGTGTGTGTGTGTGTGTGCGTGTGTGTGTGTGTGCGTGTGTGTGCGCGTGTGTGTGTGTGTGTGTGTGTGTGTGTGTGTGTGTGTGTGTTGTGTGTGTGTGTGTACTCACCTAGTTGTGTTTGCGGGGTTGAGCTCTGGCTCTTTGGTCCCACCTCTCAACCGTCAATAATTGTGTGTGTGTGTGTGTGTGTGTGTGTGTGTGTGTGTGTGCGTGTGTGTGTGTGTGTGTGTGTGTGTGTGTGTGTGTGTGTGTGTGTGTGTGTGTGTGTGTGTGTGTGTGTGTGTGTGTAATTACCTAATTTAAATAACTTAAGTGTAATTACCTAATTGCAGTTACAAGGATAAGAGGTAAGCCCTTAGAAACCAGTCTTTTGTTATAGACTTTATTAATCGTTGTCTTACTTGTGGTTGTATGAGTTGAGCTTCAGCTCTGCCGTCCAGTCATTCAACCTTTCTATCAACTGGTTTACAAGTTGCCGAGCCTTTTGGGCACTGTCACGTCTACAGTGTAGCTGTGAATAGTCGGATTCCACTGCTTCACTTCTTAGAGCGCTTCAGTTGTTCACTATTTTATTGCAAAAAAAAAATTATATTGCTTCTG